CAGATTTACATTGCTTTTCTTTTTTGTGGTGAATTATATATAACTACCGTAACACAAGAAATGACATTTTAACATAAAACAAACATCAAATGCTTGCCAAGTTGAAGGAAATGTTATTTCTGGAGTGCCAAAATGAATGCTTAGCATTTTTCACTATTTGTGAATATATAATGAGCTTGCTTTGCCATGAGATCTTGTTGAGAGCAAGATAACCACAAGACTCATTTTGCCCTCTTCATTGGTTTTTCATTCACTCTTATCCACTGGGCCCTTGACCTGCGTAACCACAGAGAGATGTGAGAGAATGTAACAATATTTGAGGGGTAAAAACGAGTCTTGCAGCTCTCTCGCTTCAAATGAAATCTTGCGACTGTTTGCTTCTAGAGCCTATTGTGAAATATTGGGAATCTGACATAAATTCTTCAGATATCACAATTAACTTTATATTTCTCAATGAAATATCCATGATGTCTTTCAGTTCGTTTTCACCTAGTGTACCCATATGACTGCACATTGGAAATAACATAAATGATACAAATCTGATATTATAAAATTGAATATTTGTTTGCACTATTCTCAAATCAATTTAGTACATACATACAAATCATGATTACAATTTTTCATGATTTTTTGATAATTAAGATTTTCTCAAAATGACAAAAAATATTCATTTTATAATAGAAAATTTGTGGAATGAATTGCTTCATATACATATATAGATATAAATAAAAACTAAATTTGTGAATAGATTTACATATAGATAAAATTTCACTGGTATTTTTACTGAAATATGTTAATAAATAATTTGTTGCATTGTGATATCGTAATTGTTGTTTATAAATGTATAAATTGTTAACCTTGTTTCACATTTAATTATTTAAAAATTAATTCAAAGCTTAACACTGCATGGCATACTGTCAATTACACTGTTTTCTGAAATTTTCAGAGATTCACATGTGTATTTTTTCAAAGTTAAGGTATTTTCACTGTCTTTTATTTTTGCTTAATTATTCGTACCCCATTTCAGTGAAAATACATTTTCTAGCAAAAATAAAACTTAAATTAATATTGAATGCAGAAAAAAATCAATGCCTGTTGCATACATTCTTTTTTATTTCAAAATTGTCATAAAAATTGCACGTTTATTTTGATTTTTTTCATTCTTTCTTAAAACTTGACAAAATATAAATTTTTTCTGATCTGCTTTTTTGATTTTGTTTTCAAGAACAAAAATTAGGAATTTTGTCACACACAAATCGTTTGCTACATTCATGCTAAAATAGTGTAAATTTATGGTCAAATTTTAGACCCAGATTAATCTTCAAGAATGAAATTTTGTAATTTCTTCTTCTGTCAATGGTACATTAGCTTTACTGAAACCCATGTACGTGTGATGTCAGGAATTGTTGTCATAGCGATTGATATGCAAATTACTGTATCAACTTTTCACCACAACAAATAATATTTAACGTCGCACCTTTTGTTGACGGTAATTTGCAAGATATTCTGTGATTCATACAGGCCCTGGACATTTATCATTTTGAGCATGGAATTCAAAGAACAATCTGCACATTAAATTGTGGATGTGCAAGGAACTGCACATTAGCGTTTACATCACAATTTATGCCAACACTTTGATTTGCTTGCTTTGTTGATCAATAAAAAACTGTCTCAGTCCTCAGTTTTACCATATACCTACACCATTATTCATTCTTTATAAGGCAGTAATTATAATTTCCACTTCCAAATATGGCATTAATCATAATTGTACATCCATATATGGCATTAATTATAATACTACATCCTTATGTGGCAGTAATTATAATATTAGATTTAAATATGGCAGTAATTATAATATTCCATCCAAATATGGCAGTAGAGATTATTATCACTTTGTATACGGCAACAGCTGTTATGACTCCATGCGAGATGGTAACCTTTCTATATGTTAATATTGAGGACTGAAATTGTAAACTTGTGTAAGCATAAGATTTTTATTTGTTGTATAAAATTAATGTAACAGTAAAGTAGAATACATATCTTAGAAAATTGATTATATTTTGTGTCTTTCACCAAATGCATCCAAACTTTGATGCTGTGAAAGTCTGCCCTCTTCAGGCGACAAAGAGATTGTAGTAGAGTTTTGCCAAATAGTAGAATTTTCGTCTAAATGGACACTAGAGTTAAAGAATATATTTATAAAGTTATGGATATAATTATATTTGTAAATTTGTGACAATGTTTTGTATATTTTGTGCTGTGCTTTCTCTTTTCAATGATTAAAAGTTGTCAGCAAGCAGTTGAATCCTGATATTCAGAGTA